CGATATCCGAAATGTCTAGATATTCCCGAAGCAATGACATAAGGTGTTCCACGTATATCCTTGGCAGAGGGTGCTTGTAGATTATTCGTTTAGCAACAAGGGCTACTGGATGAAAGGCAAGCTCAAAAACTGTCTGCTCCTATAACCATCTATCCAACCAAAATGAATTGTTGCCATTGCCCACCGGGGAAACCATCAACATTGAAAATGGCGCCTTAACATTTGCATAGATCAGCAGCTCAAATTCCACCCACGGTTTGTCTGGCTGTGTTTTTTGAAGACAAACTTTTGGTGAGACAATTAAACAATAGCCGCCATTGGCCGGTCCTTTCCCTTCCATAAGAACCCATGGCAAATTTTGTCGATAACCTTGATTACTTTTTCCTGGGAGATCTGCAGCATACCTATTTAACTATTTTATTTTGTATAAGCTGATCGAGTTTCCGTTAGTTATTCTTTGCCGGTGGAGACGCTGCTTGAAGGAACAAAGAAATGTACTGGGGTTTGATTAAATTAATTCGAAATTTCACTTTTCGAGAAAATATCATTTTGTGCAGAATGTGCTTAGTTTTGATTTAACCAAGAAAATGTAGTACATTGTTGTTGTTTCTCTCCAGTGATGAGTCACTTCCTTCTTTGTGTTTCTAGGTGACTGATAAGCCAAGGGCAATTCATTTACAAAGTGTTAATGGGGACATTAAGTTCCATGATGTTACATTTAGATATAATGATGGCATGCCTCCAGTGGCAGATGGTGTGAATCTTCATATTAGACCGGGAGAAATAATTGCTTTTATTGGACCTTCTGGTGGAGGCAAAACTACTCTTGCCAAATTACTCCTCCGTCTTTATCATCCACAAAAAGGTATTGAACTAAACAGCAGTAAAATACTGAGCAGATTTTGTATAAATCCTTGTATATGTCTTCGCCTTTTGCCTTAACCTCAAGATCTCACATTTCCTTTTCTTGGTCATTTAAACTGTACAGTTTCTTATAACATGGATTTAATTCTGTTTCCTTGTAGGGTATATACTTCTGGACAACCATGATATTCAGGACATTCAATTGCAATGCTTGAGAACACATATTGCTTTTGTTTCACAGGACACTGTAAGTCTGGTGCATACATGATCTCCCCTTCTATTGTTGTCTCCTCAAATGCTGTTATCTTCACAGATTAGATCCTTTGTAAATGCAGAGATACGTGGCAAATAGAATGTAAGTCTTATTTTAAAGATTTTATAGTTTGTTTTCTATTTGTGAAACAGTATTGTCCTGCGGTTAGATCATTGTATCATGTGAATAGCAGAGATAGAAAGCAAGTCATATTTTCATGTCAACTGATGGATAAATCTATTATACTAAGTGGTTCAAGTTCTTGATCAAAATTGTATGTTCAAGTATGGAACTCTTTAGTTCTCCATTTTGGTGATTGTTGTTCTGCCGCATCACATTTTCAGTGTTTGAAATGATATTTTTGTTAACCTTTCATATGCACTTCTAATGAAAAACTAGTTCAGTAGTGCTCAATCATCAACACAAGATACAATTCTATTATTCTAAGTATCTTTATGTTTTGCGTGTAGGGTTATGTTTTTCATTATCATCGTGTTCCTGCATTATTCATTTCTTGTTTATTTCATAGATGCTATTTTCTGGGACAATTGCTGAAAACATTGCTTATAGAGACCCTGTGGGAGATATTAACATGAACAGGGTTGAGTACGCTGCTAAGATTGCCAATGCTGAGGAGTTCATTAAGATGTTGCCAGAAGGATACGATTCAAATGTGGGACAGAGAGGTTCTAGTTTGAGCGGTGGACAGAAGCAAAGGTAAAATGCTCGCTTTCCAGTTTTCAGACTACCTTGTATCACAAGCTAAACTAGTGAAACCTGTTGACCACATACTATCCAGTAGCCTCTTTTGTACCGGAGCAGATCCGTTTAATTTGTACAGTGTGTTTTTATCCGCAGGTTGTCTATTGCCAGGGCAATCTATCAGAATTCTTCCATATTGATAATGGATGAAGCAACTTCTGCTTTAGATAAGAGATCTGAGCTGCTACTGAAAGAAGCACTTAGTAATCTAATCACAAAACACTCAGTCACAGTAAGTTTTTGTGTGGCCATTCCTGCATTGGTGTGCTTTCCAATATCAATATATTGCTAAGTAACTTCTTCCCTTGCTGTGATTGAATACAGGTTATCATCATTGCTCATCGACAGGAAATGGTCCTAATGGCTGACAGGATTATTTCACTAGAGCGTGGTGAATTGCGCGAGATGTCAAAACCGGCATTTTTGTCTCAAGATGGTCACTTCAGCTCACCAAAGATCAGGAGTCCAAATTAGGGTGAGACTTGGCATGGGCAATTCTCTCACGAAGATATGTGCATGACATTCACCATGGAGAAAACGATTCATAGAATCACCTCTCTTTCCTGAGCCCTGCTCACAACTTTGGCTTCTTGGAACCTTGTTTCATCCCAACAGCAACAAATCTGTCAACATTATCGAAGGTCATCTGCTGGAGAGAATAGCAGGCTGCCCCAGCGGCATTGCCTCCTACCTGCTGCAAGATCCTCCTCAAATCAAGCTATAGGGTTCTAACAATTTTGAAAAGCACAACTTCCTTATAATTTCCCCTTTCCCCTTGTATACATGCAGGATGCAGTAGTTGAGCTGTATATATGCCTTCAGGCATCCTGCCGATTTTTTTTTTCATGTTTTATGCTGCCACTAGTATAAAATCTAGATTGGTTCGTTTCAGAATCATCAGGTAGCAAACGTGTAACTGAGGTAGCGACAGAAGCAACGTAAGCAATCTAATAATCTTTGAGGAAAAAACAGTAAGTGAATGATATCAAACGTGTTCGAACTATAGAGCAATCTAGAAATATAATGAGTATTTCAGCAATGGATATAGCAAATGCGTATTTTAGCAACAGGCAATCAACAAACATATAGCGCATGAGTATTTGAAACACCACACTCGATCAGCTCATATGGTATTGTAGCGAGGAAGGCTTTAAAATTCATCTCTGTCGGTAAAAAAATGGCGAGCAGCATCCATCAAACACACTATTGTAGTGATGAAGGCTTTAAAATTCATCTAGCTGTCGGTAAAAAGTGGCAAGCAGCATCCATCAAACACACAGCATAGATACAAAACCGTCTGCCGGTAAACCAGCAAAGCACTATAGCACCAGCTCTTTGACTCTTTCTATTCATGACAGTACTTCTGGGTTGCATGGGTGGTCATCACCCGTATAACATCACAGTTCAGCAATCGATCGGTGACATTGGTCCTCAAATGCTATGCTCAGACACTTTACTTCTAATGTCATCAAGGAATGAGCTGAAACTAGTGGAGCTAGATAATGAGCCATCCAAATTCTGATCCTCAACAAGGTATTTCTCGAATTTTGTAGTGTCATCATGTGCTCCATGAATGAAAACCAGTTTGGGTGTTATATTCCTTTCTTGTTTTAGTCTATCGACTGTTGATCTCAGTAGACCTGCCAACATCATTTCATTGTTAGGACAGGAGAGGAGGCGTACATTGTTAGGATAATAACTTGGTCAGAGTGCATGATGAATGAAAGAAAGAAAAATATTATTCTCACAATCACGTGGAGGAGGAAAAGGGATTTCGCTACTAGCTGTAGGTGAGTAATACACCAGAAGGTCTTTGTATGCATCAAGAAGAAATATTGGCCTCTCACTGGTGAACATGGTCCGGCTTAGTGATTGATGTACTTCTGCTTCTACATCGGGGGAGGAGTATGAAATCAACGTAGGCCAAATAGCCTGCCGAAGCGAAGCTGGCTCCAGTGCACTGCCCATAAAATAGATGTAAACAATATTGATCTAATGTCGATTGAAATCAAGTTTAGATGTTCCCAGACTAACCACCACAAATTGAACTACCAAAAGTAAGATGAGATGGGAAAAATATCAGAAAACCAACACTTAAATTTGAATTGACTAGTCAGATAAGTAGGAGATCAGTAACTATGATCCACGTAAATTATAATGTATTTACACTTTGGTTCAACTACCACCCACAACATAATACAAGCTTCATGCCTGTGGTTGCATCATATTCAAGCTTACATGCATCACCCATATAATGTGCCTCCACATTTACTACTGTGTTTGATACTCCGTACAACAGTCATCCAAATTGAAATATGTAAAACCATACTTCCATAGCTCGATAATAAGAAAATAAAACAAGAAATCTCAATATTTTTTTTAAATGCAGCCCACAGGAGGGATCAGATCATGGGCTCAAAATCCTTGTTCTTCTTAGAAACAGTTACAAGCTCTCATCTTTAAGCTCAACAAACTACATAAATTTGTATTTTTCCCTAGCTAGTGCTAAGTTCTATAACAAGTTAACAGTATGTCAGAGTTGCTATTAAGGCACACGAATAGTACCTTGGTACTTCAGCATGAGATTAGTCAGGTTAAGACAGATTAGTTAGGATATCTACTGTTTGTTAGGCTCTCATGTTATCTAGAGTTTGCTAGTCAAGTTGTTACAGACTTAGAGCATCTCCAAGAGCCTCTCTAAATCTCACTCTCTAAATCATTATTTGGAGAGTCATTTGCATAAAAATCGCTTTCTCGTGCGCAGTCTAGAGAGCCATTCTTGTCTTCTATTTTTGGCTAGCGAAAATACGGAATAGAAAATGGCTATATTTGGATAACCATTTAGAGAAGCTGTTGGAGGATAGTTTTTCACCAAAATCTCTATTCCTAGCATTTAGAAAGGAAATAGAGTCTCTTGGAGATGCTCTTACAGTTAGTCAGGTGGCTAAGGTTTATATATGGCCCCTTGCCAGCCCTTTGGAATCAATAAAGTGATAAAGAATCAATTTTAAGACTTTCCAATCTATAGTCTAATGACTCCCCTAGTAGTTGACTACGCCTGGCTATCCTCTCGGAAGTGTTTACACCTAATGAACTAGGATTCATTACGGAAGAAGAGACATTACCTCAAGAGGCATTGCAAATATGTCACATAATCTGGATGAATGCCTTCACTGCTGACTTGAAGCAGGGGGCTTAATAGAATAGCAAACACAAACCGTGACAGAGGCTGCAGTTGTGAGCAGTGCGAGAAATTAACATCAATATTATATGTCTCAGTACCACCTCCAGATGTGACGTTCTTGTATGCTTTGTTGTACTGAGCAATGACAACCACCAACCAATCTTGGAGCCACAGCCTTGTTTCCAGCTCATCACTTAAAGAAGCCAAAATAACCTGAAAATGGAACTCTGTTTAAATCTGAAATTGAATGACCTTCTGTGAAACAGATAGGCATGGCAATATTAACACATTTCTCTTTTTTGTTTTGTACTTTGGTCAGCAAGCTGGAATTTGTATTGGCAAGGGCATATATATGTTCAGAATGCAAAGTGAAATCAGGCAGTCACATACAGTATGTCCCCTTAGGATTGTGCATTGGTAAATGAGATGTTGAGTTTAAACCATGATAGAATTTCTTGTTCTAAATTATGGTTACACTATTTAGTCTTTACCATGACAGTCCAACACTGATCTCTTCTTGCATCTTAACACAAAATCGGCCAATGCATTTTTCAAATAGGGGAATTCAACATTTGCTGGACTGAAGAAATTCACTGTACCACTTGGTTACCGATTGTAATTGTAGCAAAGTTGTAGTAAGGGGACAACAGTCACTGCTTTGACAATAACCAAAATCATGTGCTTACAACAAACAACGAATCAGACTTGTGCTCGATCAACAAAATATTGATAAAGATTCTACCTGGTGTACTAGTATTGTCAAAACAACATCTGGATCAACAAAATCGTAAAGGTCCCAGATATTAGCAGTTGTGTTGTACTGGATAGTCCGCACTCTTAGCCTCCTCTCCAACAAGTATTTAGATCTGGCAAAGGTACGTTACGTTACAAAATATATCATCACCCTACATTTGTGTATAGAAATTTCTGCTAGAATATCAAAACTCAAGCTACCAATCAGAAAATGCTTAACAAGCAAGTTGCATACTAAACATTACAGAAGCGCACAAAGTTTACTTTGTTTATATTGTCTACACTGAAAGATGGACATCTCGCACATAAGAAACATACAGCAGGGTGTCAATTAAGATTGAGATTTGAGAATATTTCAGAATAGTAATATTGACACTAAAATGACTAAAACCATAAATGATACATATAGAGATTGCACAGAAATGTGAGCACACTACTTGAACATTGGACTTGGAAACAGTAACGCGCTACTTGAATGACTGATCACAGGCTGTAAACAAATGTACCTGCTCCCAGAATTTGGAAAATCTGATGTATCACCATTGTGCACAAGCACTGTGTACTTAAATGCAATTTGAATAATAGGAGGGCTTGACTTCCTGCAGGCACAAAAAAAAAATGGCGCCATAAGAATTTAGAAGATAAATTGTGCATTTACAGAACAGTTCAAACTATTTAGTTGAAGATTTACAGTTATCTTGTGTGACTGATGTAATGGGCTATTAGCCATACGGTTGCACAGCGGGTTGTTTACTTTTTACATATTAAAAAAAAGGGCGTACCCAGTGCAGAGAGCTCCCGCTCTGTGCGGGGTCTGGGGAAGGGTGTCAGTGGCAAGCCTTACCCTCGCCTATGCAATGCGAGGAGACCGCGACTCGAACCCGGGACCTTCCGGTCACAGGCGGTAAGACTCTACCGCTTGCACCAGGCCCGCCCTTCTTACTTTTTACATATTAGCTGTTCAAATTTGTTTCTAATGCAATTAATAGTAATTGCAATTAACCATTGCAACATGTTTCTTAGACAACTTTGTTTCATTTTTGTAAGACACTAAGACGTATATGCATAGCATACTACTTAGGCCCTCATAGGAAATATCCAGTTATGCTGTCTTTCATCATTGTACAGACTCCTTTTAGATCCCAAATGTCAGGATGATGTTGGAACATCAATTAAAAGGTTATCATATTCTCATTTCCACTAATTAATATTGGAATTCTCTGTTTGCCTTAGATAAATTATAGGCTTCTTGTCCTTTGATTAGTGGTGAAATATTCCATACAAAAGAAAGATATACAAAAACTATGGAAGAAATTATGAGTATAATATGTGGGACATATGGAGAAGGTGTGACATGTCAATGTATTCCAAAATTTCTTATTGATTTGATCATTATGGTGACAAGAAATCGGCTTCCACTTTACCATCTTGGCCAGGCACAAATAAACATGTTACTTTGATCTAAACTCAACTCACTGATAGCCTCAACAGAGGCTTGACATATGAAATCAATTAGGACTTCAATAAAGAAGGCTTATACCCACTGGCAGTCCTAGCCTTCTAGGTCATTCCAGCTAGTAGGGGATAATCTGATTTTCTGATACAACAACCTAGAAACAATTTCGCGCAACTAATAACTACTAACGACCAAGGATGCAGAATAATATAAGTTTCTATATGTCAAAGCACAGCAGGGAAATCCCATATTACTTATGGTTGGGAAAAAATGAGGGTTAACTTATGGAAAGCATGTATTATGGGAAAGCCTGGAAATAGAATGTTTGTTACCTGGAAAATTGTGAATCCTTTTCAAACTCAAAGTCGTAACTGTATGTAGCAAAAGAGTCACAACAATTTATGTGTTGAACATGCATGTACTGAGGATCTGGGAAGAAATGGCCATACTGTTGAACATAAAAGAAAATAAACATGTCAGACACAACATATGAAGAAGCTGATGTAAGTAATGCACATATCCCTCAGAGTATTTACAGAATCAGCAATCTTGAACTGTGATGATGTTCTCAATCGCATTACGCATCCAAAAGCATAGGGACGACTCAACATCTTGTATCTGAACAAAAGGCAGATAAAAAAATCAGAGTACTGCACTGCTGCTTTGTAGGTACACTGCACTACTGCTTTGTAGCTACTTACTCCTTTTAATGATACGGCAGATCATTTGTTCTTTATCTTGTTTCAAAAACCAAGGATCTAGAAGAATCAAGAATTTCCTATCCATGGTAGCATCAAGTTATTAATGCCATCTTATTTATGGGTGTGGATTTGTTAGCCTTTACTTTGTATCACCTTGGTTTCGCCATTCCATAATCAAAAGTGTTATGAGACCTTATATGCTACCACAAGTATATAAAACCAGTGCGCATAAAGAATATGCAGAATGCATTCATGTTTATACATTTTGTTATCTATCTTATAGCATGGACATCTAGGCAGCACACGACCAAGAACTAACATTAATTTTCATCGTGCTGTTTGGGTTTAAGCAAATTCAACATAATCCAGTACTAAAACATTGACCACATAATAAAAATTTGATAATCTATTATTAGGGACAGCTCTCCACTATTGGTATAAAGAAGAATAGCCTAAGCATTTACCCAATAAATCTGGTAAAGGAAACAATAAATCATCTAAATAAAATTTAATTTTAAGTCATGATCTAACTGCTGAATACATGAGAAACATAAAGATGGTGACTAAACTTACATATCTTGCGGAAGTGTTGATTCATCTGTACTTGAATACAGAAACAGTGATCCACCACTCTCAACACTCAGAACTTTCAGGTTAGTAAGGTCAGTGTATTCATTTGTAATTGCAAAAAGGTCCACGCACACACCTGCTTGAACAGCACTAGTAGCCTGTGATATGCCAATCAGATATATTCTAAAATATTCTCATAGTGTATTGACTAATCTCTGTGCAAAATTACCAGATTTTTATAGAAACTTGTCTGCTCCTGCAGTAATACATGATCAGCACCCCTTGCTTTACCAGCATTTTGGTCCTCACTTATATCCAGCTGCCCAGCCCCATAATTGGGTGGACCAGATAAAAATGCAAATATCCTAGCTGATTTTTTAAAAAAGAAAATTATCAGGGCAAGTTATAGGGGCAGACGAGGTCAAGTACCACAGACCCAGTCTTGAAACAAAATAACAAACATTAGTGTGGTAAAAGGCTCAAGGCATTAACATACCAAGCTCGAACGCATTTCCATATTCTGAACTTAGATAGTTGATAAGAACATCCAACGCTACACCAAAACCACGTACATGATGCAATACATGATCCTGTCCTTCGTGCGCATTTGCAGCTACTTCCCAGGAAGACATTGGTTTAATTGTTTCAAGTGCTTCAGTAATGCGATCTTTGCAACTATCAATCTGTTAAGATGTAACATGATATTAGCAAATACAGTACAAGTCAGATGAATATTCTGGGACCAAAAAGCCAGAGCCAAATACAAATAAGGAGAAAACTGTAACTAACAGCACAATTTACATACAGGAGCCAAAAATGAGCAAAGGGGCATGATATCTTCAAGGTCAACTTGTAAGGCACCATCCGAATCAGGAGGGATAAACACATTCTTCACAATAGGTATTGGACCTTGGACATCATATAATCCTATTTTGCTGCTAAATGTCAAAAGTCCAAATAGTGATCCTGGCGAAAGAGCTGCATGGAAACAAAAGATTAGTTTATATATAGCTTTATGAAAACTCCAGGTATTATGCTTCAACAAAAGATTAGCTCCAAGGACTTAAGCTCACCTTCAAGAGCTGCTTGAAGAGCACTTTTGATTAGCTCCAAGAACTCCTCTGAAGCTAAAATGCAATATGAAGAAACAATCATCAGAAACAGCTGAATTTCACCAAAAAGAGGAGGAGAGAGAAAGTACAAAAGGTATAGATAAAAAATCACAGAATGTACTATTGAATTTAAGTTTGTGGAAAACTTAATGATTCGTTTATCAGACAAGACAGTATAGCTTAAGCTGTAAGCCTAACAAATTGTGGCTAAAGATTTGACTGGCTAGGAACACCAAAAGTCAAGCACTATGTTAATGGAAACGGATTTCATCATTCAAAGGGAGTTTGAAACTGTGTTCATCAATCATCATAATGCTGCAACATTGTTTCCCTTTTACAACTATATAAAAGCAACCAACTACACACCCCCATGGCAATATCAATCACTCTACCCATTGGACTAAGTTTTAGCCTTTTAGGGCATGAGCGCAGTAGGCACCAGAGGGTGTCAATCTATGACGACCCTCTGCAGGCACTCAATATAAGAACCATAATGTACCAAATTCAAGGCATGATTACCAGTTCGTTGCCATATTTTTTATAGGAACAAAGTCACGTGTACCGATCACTAAAATGCTATGCTAGCGTCAAACGTGTACAGCTTGTGAAGGAACTGAAGATCTTACAGGACAAGTCGATCGCCGCCACGTACACGGGCATCGGAGCCGCCGCCTCGCCCTCCTCCCCTGCAAAATTCCACCACCACGTTACAGCAATACCGCACCGTACCACAGCGCGCTGCATCCAATCAGAACGGCGAGAGAGAGGCGTGTACCCGGGAGGAGGAGGTCGACGAACGCGGAGCGCATCTCGGGCGAGTCGTGGCCACCGTCGCGGGCGTAGCGCGCGGCGGCGTCGGCGGGGAGGTCATTCTCGGCGCCGCAGACGGCGCAGTTCCAGGACCAGCGGTCGAGCGGACAGAGCAAGCTGAAGTAGGCGAAGCAGGACTGGCAGCGGGGGAGGAGGTGGCCCTCGGCGCCGGTGGCCGGCTTGGAGCCGCGCTCATCTGTGGCAGAGAACGGAGTGACGGCGACGCCCCACGGGATGATGCAGGCCTCGTGGAGCGCGGGGTCGGAGGGGAAGCAGGCGAGGCTCGCGCGCACCGCCATTGCCGCCGCGCGGATTTGGGGCTTGGATCTGGCGACGTGACGAGAGATCTCAGGGAAGCTGTGTGCCTGTGTCTCTCGAGTGTTTTGGTGCGGTTTAACCAGTGGGCAGCCGGCAGGGGCCTTTGTGTGCTGGACTGGAAATGAAACACACCACGGAAGCTGATCAGGAGCGTCTATTGTGATTTGTGATCTTGATGACTGGAATGAACCAAACGATGTGATACTTTTCCTGATCAAGGTGTGGGGATTGAGGAATCTCTAATCACATGGGCTCTGTGCCAAGTATGAAATTTTGACTTGAAGCCAACCGATTTGCATCATCGTATGTATGGCAAAAGAAATGATACTTTGAACGTCTTTGCAAATTTTGCGCTCTTTTATTTATAACTCTAACTTAGTAAGGATTTAGAGGTGTGATTATTGTTTTTATATGACGAAACAAGTTGGTAATTGGAGAGGTAATAATTTCTTCAAGGCAAAGTCATGGCTTTGCACATCTTTTTAGTTAGTGTATAAAGATAGCGGCAAAGAGGATATGTGAACGAAGGGGAAAAGATGGGTATCTAATACGTTTCAACTTTTTTTAATGAAAACTAGAGTTTCTCCTCTCACACGACCATGCATCTTCTTTGTTAGAGTCAAGGTTACGGGTTGAATTGGGTTTGGAGGGTCACCTCTTCATATGACTGTGGACATAGGCTAGCCTGCGTTGATTGCGAATGCAAAGGACGACAAGCAAGGCAAAGCGGTGTTAACATCGTCGGGTGGTAGGGTAGAGGACCAAAGAGGTAGGGTGATATGGTAATAGACACGAGAAAAGGTTGCGGGTGCATAGTAGTATGACACGTGTGATAGCGATAATGACAAAAGGTGCTCGAGCATGGGGGAGGAAGAATGCGTCAATTGTTACTAATGTTGTCCAAAGACTAAAAAATCTACAACATGTTCGCTTGGTCGTAAACGATCGTGGATTATAAGCCAAAACATTATTTTTCTCTCACACCAAACCAGCCAGCAGTAATAATCTACGATCGTTTCAGCCGAAACGAACATGTTGCTAAGTGTTAGGGGTTAACGTGTCATCAGTTGTACGGGTGCTAAGTTGTCCATGTCAGCCAAGGCGGCAAACGTATGGTATTAGTTATATGACATGTCTATGGTAAACTTATCTCTAGTTACTGTGCTAACATCTTATGCGCATGTATGTAGCTACTAAGGGTCGAACCTAAATTTTTTTTGCATGTCTAAGGTGAATGTGTTATTGGTTGCATAGGCAAACCTTTTTGTGCATACATGTGGCTATGATGGCAAACACATTGTTCGCCTAATACACACTATTTAAATGGTACATTACTTCTATTTGATTGGCCATTTATCCTATTTCAACATCCATTTTACCTGTTAAGTGACCATTTTGCTCGAATAATGACTAAATGGCAAGTGACTAGCTATTTACCGTTTAGGAACGGTCAAAAGAAACAGTACTTTGAATGCCTTTGTAAATTTTGGGCACTTTTATTTATAACTCTAACTTAGTAAGGATTTAAACGTGTGATTATCAGTTTTGATATGATGAAACAAGTTGGTAACCAGAGAGGTCATAATTTATTCTAAGGCAAAGTTATGTCTTTGCACATCTTTTTAGTTAGTGTATAAAGATAGTGTCAAACAGGATACGTGAAAGAAGGGAAAAAATGGATAGTGAATGCATTTCTAGTTATTTTCATGAAAGCCTTAGTTTCTCCACTCAAACACCCATGCCCCTACATCATAGCGTTAAATCTTCTTTGTTAGAGTTAGGGTTGCGGTTTGAATTGGGTTTGGAGGGTCATCTGATATCGGGTGCTTTAAGGGATGATGATTATGGCCATAGGTTGGCTTCCGGCAATGGCGAATGCAAGGATGACAAGCAAGGCAAAGTAAGGATAACATCATCGGCTGGTAGGGTAGAGGATCGTAAAGAGGTAGAGTAATGCACAAGAAAAGATGTGGGTGCATAGCAATATGGCACATGTAGCAACAAAAATCAGAGCAAATCAGAAGGTGGCGCAATTGTCTTATAAGTGTATAAATATGTCTTGTAGGGGGTGCACATATGTGGTGAAATTTTAATCAAATCCATTGTATTTACATTCGGAGGGGGTGCAAATGCACCCCTAAACAGTGGCGGGCCCAGCGGGTAGTCCAAGTAGGCCCAGGACTACCCTAGAATTGGGCCCAAATTTGTTTTAGTATCACTAGTTGAGACTCGAATATGAAAATTTGGCCCATTACTCATCTCTCCGTCTCCCGTGCTCAATTGTCCATGCAGACTCTCCCGGCTCTCCCGGCGGCTGGCCGCCCCACCCCACCGGCCTCCCGGCTCCCTCCTCCTGGCTCACTCTGGCTTGGCGGCACTGGCAACACCCGCCCTGGCCGCCGCGCCCGCCACTCCGCTCCGCCTCCTGGCTCCGAACTTGAATCCCACATCGGCACATCCAGTCCCGCAGTCCGTGTTGTGGTTGCATGGGCAAACCTTTTGTGCAACCAATGTGGCTATGATGGCAAACACATTGCCAATACACACTATTTAAATGGCACATTACTTCTATTTGATTGGCCATCCGCCTATTTCAACCCCCATTTTACTGGAGACACAGACCATTTTGGCCTTAATAATGTCTCACAGAAGCACACGCCTGACTGCCTGCTATTTGTCTGCTGGTGAGTTTTAGTAAATCCTCATTCTTTTATGTAGTTATAAGCCTTGTGGTTTGGATATTGGAGATTGAAAATTGACCAGTAAAGGCTTAGGAATTGTGGATCTATTGTCTAGAATTGAATGAAATTTGACGGTGAGTGTGCTTTTGAAGTTCGAGATGCAAGAGCTTGGATTTGGTCGGCCCTCAATCTTCTTCTGTTGCTCCAATCAGTCAAATCCCCAATACCAAAAGGCCATGAAAGGAAGAAGAGTTGAGCCTCATGAAGAAGAATCGATGTTAGTCTGTCCCTGGTGTGCTCTTCATCAATGCTAGACCGTGTTTTTTTGATAAGGATGCTAGACCGTGTCTTTTTTTTTGAGCATATGCTAGACCGTATCAGTTAGCCTATGATTGAACCACCAGTGTAGTTTGTGTGCATCCCATACCCATCCTTAGTGTCTGTATGTACATGTTTCCACAAATTCTGGATAACTTCAAACTTGGTATGATACATATAGATACGGTGATTTAACGCTCAAGAAAAGAATTGAATGGAAATTGTAGATCTATCATCTGTGAGCCTAGTTTTGAACCTTTCAATTGTATTATCTTAATTTGGTTAATTTATAGCCATTTTATCAAACTTTTTCTTTGAATTTTGTCGTGTTGCACATGAAATTTTTTGACTAGGACTACCCTGGTTTCAAATCCTGGGTCCGCCACTGCCCCTAAACATAGTGTAGCTTCACCCCTAGTGATAATGGCAAAAGGAGCTCGAGCATGGGGTGGAAGTATGCGTCAAATGCTACTAATGTTGTTCAACGACCGGGGAAATCTGAGTGTTAGGGTTAATGCGTCATCAGTTCTACGGGTGACAAGTTATCCGTACATAGCTAAGGCGGTGAACATAAGATATTAGTTCTATGACATGTATATGATAAACTTATTGCCCCTTAATATAGAAGGCACTCTTATTCCCTGCCATCCATAGAATTGTATGGTTATCCAACGCATGTGCAACGCCTTATGCACATGTATGTAGCTATCGAGGGGTCAAGCTCAAAACATATTTTTATATGTCTAAATTGAATGCTTTATTGGTTGCAAGCAAACTTTTTTGTGCAACCATGTGATATGGTGGCAAACACACGGTTTCACCTAATACACCATGTTTAACGTTACATGGCGGTATGCTATTTTCATTTAATCATCCGTTTATCCCATTTAAACATCCATTTTACCCGTTTAAGTGGCCGTTTTGCCTGAATAGTATATAAACAATAAATGATTGGTTGTTTACCGTTTAGGATAACACTAGACAAACGTAAAATCAATGCCATGACATGTCTAGGCTAAATACATTATCTCGGCTGCATGTGTCCATATAGTTCAGGTGGCCACCATGAAGTAAAACTTCCATGCCATAGTGAAGCGGCACTACTCTGATCGGTTTTATTAGGACCCGTTTGGCACGACTCCAGCTCTAACAACATCTCCAGTAGATAAAACGGAGGAGTATTGAACACCTCAAGAGGAGGAGCCGTTTTTCTCATGCAAGAGGAGCCAGAGCCGTATTTTGTGTAAAAGCCAGAGCTACAATTTGTGGCTCCTCCTTACGGTTTCATCTGCTTCGAAGGAGCATGGGGGAGGAGTCATACCAAACATGCACTTTATTTTTCATGGAAAGGCGGTATATGCTCGCTTGTCATATTGCTTGTAGCTTTATTACTACACCAGACAATTAAACTTGTCATTCAGTTTTTTTTCTGAAAAAAAGAAGTAAAACAAACTCTCTCTCTTTTGGGAAATGTCATATAAACTTGACTAGAGATGGTAGTTTTCAATTTCTCGTTGAAAGAATGAAAAAGGAGTCTAATCCTGGAATCAAAACAGCGAAAAAGTGTTCAACCCATTCGTCATTATGACCTGATGATTGGAAGCTGACAACGATAATGTTATGCTTCCCAACCATAAGAAGTTTGCATTATCGTACCCATCTGGTCATCACGACGGATGTGAAAACATTTATCAGGTTCGAGTCAAATGGAAAGGAGATCTGATGCTTCTTCCTCGTCAGCGTGTTATAAATCACAAAACCTGAAAACAGTAAATTTGCTGCGGTTCCGTGTTTAAAAGAAGACCTGCTTGGTTCGTGTTTATTGTCTTTCTGTGTGAGAACAACGGGACAAAGACGTTTATTTCTGCAATTCAGCAGTGTCTAGTTATCAGCGGCCACGGCCAGCGGGAAACTCAAATGTAAGGCAGATCGACACTGGAGAGAAGAGAGCAGACACATCCCAATTCCCAAATCATCATTTG